CTAATTTAACTCAACTGCACACAGGAATACGTAAGCCTACCATTGGTGCCGCCCATTTTTCACTTAAACCACTGATGTTTCAAATGCTTCAAACAAACGGCCAGTACACTGGTTTATCTTCTGAAGATCCTCATTCTCATCTGCGTTCTTTCATGGAAATCACAGACTCTTTTCTCATCCCTGATGTTTCAGACGATGCTCTGAGACTAAAACTTTTTCCATTTTCACTAAGGGATCGAGCAAAAGCATGGCACAATTCTTTGCAACCAGACTCTGTGACTACATGGAATGAAATGGCACAAAAGTTTTTGAAAAAGTATTTTTCACCCACGAGGAATGCCAAATCCAGGAATGAAATATGTACTTTTAGACAACTGAATGATGAAGCAGTTCCTGATGCATGGAAAGGTATAATGAGCTGCTGAGAAAATGCCCTCACCATGGCATTCCGTATTGTATACAACTAGAGACATTTTACAATGGTTTAAATGTCGTTGCTAGACAAATGCTTGATGCTACTGCAGGCGGAGCTTTCACAGCTTGTACCTATATAATTAAGGTTTTGACATACTTGAAAAGATTTCTAATAATAACGGACAATGGTCTGACCCACGTGCAATGCCACTAAAGAAAACAGCCGGAATAAATGAGGTATATGTTGCTTCAGCATTAACGTCTCAGATCACTAAGCTAATTTCAAATTTAACATCTTGCCCGCATGTGCAATCTGATGCTAATATCTTTAATTCCAATGTTCAATCAGTGGAATGTGTGTACTGTGGTGAAGGTCACTCTTTTGAGCATTGTCCTGGAAATCCTGAGCATGTAAAATATGTCAACAAGACTAGACCATTTTCACAGACTTATAATCTGGGATGGCAAAATCATCCAATTTTTTCKTAGCATAGTCCAGCTTTTAACCTACCAATGCAAAAGCCTCAAGGACAGTCTAATTTTCAACCGCAAGGACAGTCCAATTTTCAACAACAAGGCCAATCCAATTTTCACTCACAAGCACATCAAGGCAATCATAATAATCAACATGCTAATTTTCAGAATCATCAATCTTCTTTCCAAAGCAAGCCCAAACAACAAGCTGAATCATCTACTTCTTTGGAAGCAATGATGAAGGGTTTTATAACCCAAACTCAAGCTTCAATTAAAAATCTCGAAACTCAAATGGGACAAATGGCTTTGGAGATTAGTAAAAGACCAATAGGTTCTCTATCTAGTGATACAGAGATACCTCAGAGGGAAGGAAAAGAGCATGTTAAGGTTGTTACTTTAAGGAGTGGAAAAAGTTATTAGAAAATACCCAAAAAGAACAAAAAGAACCAAACAAAGCAGAGATTGAAAAAAAAAGTGTAGAACAAGATTCTGTTACCTCTATACCATATTTTGTGACTACCATTCCTGTGAGTACTAGTGAGCCTCAATCCATAGTCAGGCCCATAGATAGTGCAGCCATTCCAGAAAGATCAGATTTTCCATTATTATTTCCTGATGAACCCAAGACAATCCAGACTCCCAAAGAAAGTGTTGTAGTGGATGTGTCACAATCTGGTGACAGTCCTGCAATAAAAGACCAGACCAGTCCTACAATCCTTGATAGAACTGAATCAGAACCAATAGTGAGACCAGTTTTGAAACCGATTCCAGCACCAACTCTTCAAAAGACTACGTCTCCTATTCCAGTCCCTCCTTATATTCCTTATCCCCAAAGATTAAGGAATCAAAAGGAAGAATTACAATTTAAAAAGTTTCTTGATGTTTTTAAACAGTTGCACATAAACATACCCTTGGTTGAAACTATTGAGCAGATGCCAAGTTATGCAAAGTTTTTAAATGACATTTTGAGTAAAAAGAAAAAGTTAACTGAATATGAGACTGTAGCTCTGACTGAAGGTTGCAGTGCTTTGTTGTCCAGTAAAATTCCTCCTAAGATGAAAGATCTTGGAAGTTTTACAATCCCTTGTTCAATTGGGGGAAAAGAGATAGGAAAAGCTCTATGTGACTTAGGTGCTAACATAAACCTGATGCCACTATCTATCTTCAATACCCTAGGCATAGGTGAAGCTAGACCTACAACTGTAACTCTTTAGTTAGCTGATAAGTCCATAGCTTATCCCAGAGGAAAGATTGAGGATGTCCTAGTTCAGGTTGATAAGTTTATTTTCCCAGCTGATTTTATCATCCTAGACTTTGAAGCCGACAAAGACATTCACATCATCTTAGGAAGACCTTTCCTAGCTACTGGCAGAACCTTGATAGATGTACAGAAGGGAGAATTAACCATGAGAGTCCAAGACCAACAAGTGACTTTTAATGTTTTTACTTCCCTTAGGTACCCAGAGGAATGAGAAGAATGTTCTGCTTTGAGTCTGATAGAAACCTGGTGTCAAGAGAAAAGTTTGGGGAAAATCTTAGGTTTATCCAAGACTGATAGTGATGAAGAGGAAGATTTTGACGAATTAGAAATACCACAAGAATCTGCTGCTTTTGAAGTTTTAGAAACCGAGGATAGGAAGATTCTTGTTCCTTCCTTAGATGTTGCCCCAGATTTAGAGTTAAAACAACTTCTTTCACATCTGAAGTATGCCTTTTTAGGAGATTCAGGAAAGTTGCAAGTCATTATTTCATCATCATTAGAAGCTGACCAAGAAGAAAAGTTGGTTGACATGTTGAAACTTCATACCAAGGCCATAGGATGGACCATTCCTGACCTCAAGGGGATAAGTCCCACCATTTGTCAACATAAAATTAAATTGGAAGACAAAAGTTTCATCTCCGTCGAGCCTCAAAGAAGGCTCAGTCCTGTCATGAAGGAGGTTGTCAAAAAAGAGATTTTAAAATGGCTTGACGCTGGCATAATTTATCCTATTGCTAGTAGTACCTGTGTCAGTCCTGTGCAATGTGTGCCCAAAAAAGGAGGAGTCACTGTTGTACCAAATGAGAAGAATGAACTTATACCTACTAGAACACTAACTGGTTGGAGGATATGTATGGACTATAGAAGGCTTAATAAAGCCACTCAAAAAGACCATTTTCCATTACCCTTCATAGACCAAATGTTAGATAGACTAGCAGGAAAAGGGTTTTAATGTTTCTTAGATGGCTACTCCGGTTACAATCAGATTGCCATAGCACCGGATGATCAGAAAGACTATTTTCACATGTCCATATGGAACTTTTGCTTTTAGACGAATGCCTTTTGGACGTTGTAATGCCCCTACCATTTTCCAAAGGTGTATGATGTCTATTTTCTCAGATATGTTAGAACACTCCATGGAAATTTTCATGGATGATTTTTCAGTATATGGGACATCATATGACCTGTGTTTGCAAAACCTTGAAAAAAGTCTTAAAAGATGTGAAGAAACAGATTTGGTTTTGAACTGGGAAAAGTGTCACTTTATGGTAAAAGAAGGCATAGTGTTAGGGCATTTAATTTCCAAAAGAGGCATTGAAGTTGACAAAGCAAAGTTAGAGGTAATTGAGAAATTGCCTGAACCAACAACTGTAAAGGGGATCAGAAGTTTTTTAGGACATGCAGGTTTTTATAGGAGGTTCATTAAAGATTTTTCAAAAATATCAAAACCTCTTTGTTTATTATTACAGCATGACCATGTTTTCAATTTTAATGAAGAATGTAGAAGAGCTTTCAACATTTTAAAAGAAGCATTGGTCACGGCTCCTGTGGTAATAACACCTGATTGGTCCAAACCCTTTGAAATAATGAGTGATGCTAGTGACTGGGAAATTGGAGCAGTGTTAGGTCAAAAGAGAGAAAATATTTTTGATCCTGTTTATTATGCAAGCAAAACTCTTAATGATGCTCAAATCAATTACACCACTACTAAAAAGGAATTATTAGTCGTGGTCTTTGCTTTTGAAAAATTCATATCATACTTGATGGGAACCAAAGTGATTGTTCATACTGATCATGCTGCCATCAAGTACCTTATTTCTAAAAAAGATGTAAAGCCAAGGTTAATAAGGTGGGTCTTGCTTTTGCAAGAGTTTGATTTGGAGATCATTGATAGAAAAGGGGTGGATAATCAAATGGCCGACCATTTGTCAAGATTGGAAAAACAAGACAAACCAGTGCAAAGTAGTGACATCTGTGAAGTATTTCCAGATGAAAGAATTTTGGTTCTTAATCATACTACAGTGCCTTGATTTGCTGGTCTTGTTAATTACTTAGCTTGTGGGATTATTCCYAAGGAATTTAATAAGTATCAAAGAAAGAAGCTCATCTATGATTYAMAKAAATATTTATGGGATGACCCTTTCTTGTTTAAAATTTGTGCAGATCAGGTGATTAGAAGATGCATCYCAAAAGAAGAAGTACCATCAGTTCTACAGCACTGCCATGCAGGACCTTGTGGAGGACATTTTGGAGAAAGTAGGACAGCATCCAAGGTTTTACAATCAGGATTCTACTGGCCTACTTTGCACAATAATGCTCAAAACTTTGTAAAAAGTTGCAATGAGTGTCAGAGGAGTGGAAATATCTCTACAAGAAATGAAATGCCTTTGAACGGAATTCTAGAAATAGAATTATTTGATGTCTGGGGTATAGACTTTATGGGACCTTTTCCTCTATCCAATAATTGTGCCTACATATTGGTAGTTGTGGACTATGTGTCCAAATGGGTGGAAACCATGGCTTGCCATTCCAATGATGCTAAAACAGTTGTTAAGTTGATATGGAGCTGGAACTGCTAATTAGCATGAATGTGCTAACTATGGATATGCTGCCTGAAACATAAATCCAGTAGCCCAAACAAGATGTCCAAATAAAAACAGCATTGTCATCATATCGTATTATCATACTGTTGTCAGCAGCACCCAATACACCGGCAACTCCCATCATATGAAATGGGTCTGAAATGAAAAATGACTACTGAAATTGTATTGTACATCCAAAGCACATATTCACTAGATTTGGTACACCTCATGCCTTAATTAGTGATGAAGGCACTCACTTCATAAACAACATGTTAGAAGAAGTCCTTGATAAGTATGACATCAAGCATAGGGTAGCAACTGCCTACCATCCTCAGACCAAYGGATTAGCTKARTTRTCAAATAGGGAGATAAAAGGGATTTTGGCCAAAGTAGTCAAGCCACATAGAAAGGATTGGGCCTCTAAGTTAGATGATGCGTTATGGGCCTACCGGACTGCTTACAAAACTCCTATTGGTATGTCTCCCTATAAATTGGTTTTAGTAAAAGCTTGTCATTTACCTGTGGAATTAGAGCACAAAGCCTATTGGGCCATTAAGGAACTCAACATGAGTTTAGATGAGGCCGGAAGAAAAAGGATTTTGCAGCTTTGTGAACTGGAAGAACATAGGAATTTTTCCTATGAAAATGCTAAGCTTTACAAAGAAAATACAAAAAAATGGCATGATAAAAAGATTCTTCCAAAGGAATTCACAGAAGGCCAAAAACTCCTATTATTCAATTCAAGGTTAAAGTTATTTCCTGGAAAGTTGAATTCCCGATGGACCGAACCTTTTGTTGTTGCCAAGGTATACCCCTACGGAGTTATTGACCTGATAGATCCGGAGAGGGGTACCACTTTCAAAGTAAATGGACAAGTAAAACCTTTCTTTGAGTCCATGATTGTTACGCAACCTATTGAGGTTATCTTTCTAAAATAATAATTCATTGTAAATATTTAGTATTTATATATATATTTATAAGTTATTATTTTTATTTTTATTTTATTTTGTATTTTCATTTTTAATTTTTAGATTAAGCTTTTAATTTTATTTTCCCTTCTAGAATAATTATCTATTTATTTCATAATATGTAATATATTAAGTTTATATTAAAAGGTTTGGATTTTGTTTTAATTATCTTTGGGCCAGCCGGCCCAATCTCTTGATTAACCAAGCCCAGCTAAAAGAACTTGATGGCCATTTTCGTTTTATTGTTAGCAGGCCACAAAAAAGGAAGCCCAAATGAGAAGCATGTGGTTCATACGCCCCAAATCACAAGCCTATGGAAGATGAAGCCCAACATCAAAGCGCGCGGTTGGTACGGCATGTCAAACATCTTGCGCTTTCGTACCAGACCACGACCGGATGTTGTCTCTTCGCCTTCAAACTCTCAAATCACCATAACCGTACTCTCCTTCTTATGAATGAAGCAACCGTCAGCCATATCTCATCAAATAACCATTCTCAATAAGGAAAGGACTTCATTGAACTGACATTGTTAAGAAAGGTACGATTACTGACTACTCCCATCATACATGGATAACTGTCAATCATCCAGGGAAAATTTAGAAATTTTCAAAGCTACAATCTTGGAGACAAAGTTTAGAGGCCTTAAAAACCCCTAACCACTGTTCATACACCATTCGGGTTCATTGCAAACCACTGTTCACTGCCATTCCTCTTTCCTTTGTTCCAAAACCAGTTACAATCCCCTGTTCCCCTTTTTATGGCCATTCTTAAGTCTAGGCCAAGAAGAAGGGAGGGAGAGTCAGATTCCATGCCCCCTGTGACCAACAATGATCAATCCAGTAAAAGTGAGGAGGAGCCCATTGATGCCATTCCTTGAGGCAGGTTCCATTTGCCAAATCAACACCCCAATCTCCTCCTGAAGCTCGAACTCAACCCCAAAGAGTTGTGAAGACTGAACCACAACCACCTCCACAACCACAATACCAAGCCACCCTTACGATGACCAGAAGCAGAGCAAAGGGTCTGACCACTTTCAAGCCCATTAAACAGAAGAAGGGCACTGTGATCAACCTATCTGATGATAGTGATTCACCACCAGAGAGACATGGTGTTCAGGGCGGTGCATTAAAATCAACACAAGAAGACTCTACTTCTTTGAATACCCTGGCAGATGCAGCAACTCAAATGAGTACTCAAGGCATACCTCCAAGCATCACACGGAGGCTCCAAACAGGTTTGAGAATCACTAGACCTTTAACTATGGATTTGTTGTCTAGCTTTCCTGTTTATCCTCAAGCCAGTGTGGGCTTTATGTTGAGGAAATATGTGGATGAGGCCATTGCTTCCTCTAATGAAGTTTTGGGGCTAAAGACAACAACTTGTGCCCCTGCTATTGCCATGATCCAAGCTCAGCCTTTTATGGCTGCCCAAGCACCTAAAAAGGGAAATCATCCCTTAAGCATTCTGTTAGTGCTGCTTTGGCAGCCATGGATAGGATGATTAGGAGGAACCAGAGTGTGATCCATCCCCTGCCCAACCAAATGTTACCACCATCCATGCACCCACTATCACTAGAGACATACCCATTGAATTCAATTTCATGGAATCACCACATTTCACCTATATTCCTATTTCATCTACCACTGTTGAACCTACCATATTTGACCATCCAAACACATCCCAAACAGTCTCTAAACCATACCCTGTTGAAACAACCACTACCAGCCCAATACCTTCACCAATCCAACCCACAAACACACCATCTACACCTACTGAACCTGTTATCCCTTTGCCACCTACTGTTTCCATACAAGAATTAGACTTTGTCTTAGGTTTCTCACCCACTAATCCTAGCCTAACACCCTTTGAACACAATGAAAACCCATCTGATCCACAAAATACCCCTGTCACTCAAACACCACCACCCTCACCCCATTCCACTCAACCATTCATCCATAGTCCAAACCAACCCACTAGCCCTATACACTCTGGGACTCATGACTATTATGAGGGTGCACATTTTGCTCATCATAGACCTGAGCATAGCAGCCTACATGTTGAGCAAGAAAGGGAGGAGGTTGATACAGGTGCAACTTTAAGAAAGAAAGTGGCAAGGAAAAGAAGAATGAGCAGAGTTGAAACCAAGAGTTCAAAGAGAAGGAAAGAGGACAGTGAGAGATCAGAGGCTGAGGAAAGGGCATCAAGAATAAGAAAGAGGCCAGAGCAACAATTTGAGGAAGGGCCAGGTATCTTTTTGAAACCGAAGCATTTGTTTAGCACACCCCTAGCAAGAAAAACATACTTGCAATTTTCTAAGAAGGTAGGGGTGGTACAAAAAGGTTTTTCACAACAACTATTGTTGGTCAATCCTTCCATCAAGGCCACAATAGATTCTTTGGGTTGGGAGATTCTGTATGACACACCTAACCAATACAATCTTAGTTTGGTTAGGGAGTGTTACACTGAGGTAGCAGTCACTGATGGGGTAGACCTAAGAGTAAGAAAGACCCCTGTTTCCTATTCACCCAATGCCATAAATGACCTACTAGAGCTCATACCACCTTCATACTCTGAGCTAGATAGGTTGACAGTTGGGTGCTCTGATGAGGAATCTGATGTGATCTTAGCTAGGATAGCCAAGGAGGGGCCTGTATGGAGTTTCAAAGGTAGGGCTAGGCTTCTAAAAACCTAATATTTGAAGCCTGAAGCCAATTTATGGTTTTATTGCATGAGGCTCACCATTCACCCTACTAGCCATGACACCAATTTGTGCATAGAAAAAGTTTTGATCCTTTATTGTATCTTAGAGGCTAGGCCATTTGATGTTGGAAGGATGATATGCTCCAACATCAAAGCATGTGTGGAAAGAACAAATGGCAAGTTGTTCTACCCTTCCTTGATTTATAGACTTATGCAAAAGGCCCAAGTCCTAGCCTTGCCCAAAGATGTGATGTCTATGGAGAAGACTTCCATAGACAAGAAAAATCTGGATATATTAATGAGGGTAAATGCCAAGGTACAGCCAGATGCACCCACTTCTTCCATGGCAGCCCTAACGGCTGAGTTATTGAAGGCCATGGAAGATCACACCAATGCTTTGAAGAAAACAATTGTGAAGAAGCACCACAAAATGATGAAGAGAGTGGATGAGTTGAAGAAGGAAGTTGACATCTTGAAGAAAGAAAGAGTGTAATGGGCTGAGTACAAGATGCAGAAGGAGAGAATACTTAGAGCTGCTTCCAAGCATGGGAAATCACAGAGTTCAGTCAAGCTCCCACCTCCACCAAAGTCCATCTTGTTGCAGCATTCTGATTCTCCTACTCAGTCTGAGTAGGACAGGTTCCACCTCTTCTTCACTCTTTGTATATATTTTCTAAGCTATGCATAATCATTTAGCTAAGTTTAGTGTTTATTTGCTGTTTTGCTATTTATAAGCATTTGCTATTTTGCTGTTTTTATATAGAGTTTGTTGTTGGCATGATCTTTTGGATAAGTTTAAGTTCCTGATTTGCATTAGCTATCTTCTGTTTTGCTTTGCTGCCTTGATCAGATAACTAAATTTAGTGCATATTTGTTTTTCTATTTAGAATCTGCTGTTTTTACTTAGATGTTTTTAGGCCTGGTTTGTTGTTTGATTTTGTTGTTTCCATTAGTTCTTGGCTGTCTTAAATCTCATGCAGTCCTAGCTATGCACTTTCCTTTGCTGTTTTCTTTACTGTTTTAATCTTAGTGGTATGTTTCATTTATCTCACTTGAGATACTTTTGTTGTTTTCATTAGTTCTTTGTTGTTTCATATCTTGTTGGTTGCTGTCTTTTGTTTTGCTATTTTTAGGCAACATCTCAGTTTCATTTTGCTATTTAATGCATAAATTATCTGCTGATTTCAATTTGCTGTTTTTAAGTATCACTTTAAGTTTTGTTTAATCTCTTTGTGGTCTTACATCATCTAAAGCATGGCATGCCCGTCTTAGGATGATTTTGTTTTCTTTTTGCCACATTTTAGGCAATTTGCTGTTTTAAGTGTTATGCATTGCTGCCCATGCACTTCCTTTTGCTATTTTAGCATTTCTTGAGCATGATTTATGCTATCTCTAATCTTTGCTATTTTAAGATTGAGACAGTCATGCTCATACATTCTATTTGATGTTTTAAGTGCTAGTTAGTCCCACCACTATGACCATGCTTTTCTTATTACTGTGTCCTGCTTCACAACAGCTATTCAACATGATCTGTTTCTTTGGGATCTTAAATTTGTTGTTTTCATTAGTAAATTGTGTCTTTGTTTTGATATTTGATGTCTTAAAATTCTCTTGTTTAGTTTCTCTGTTGTTTTTAGCTATTTCAGGCATATCATAGTCTAAGGGCATGGTTTGCATATCTATTGTTGATGTTGTCTTCTCTTTGCCTCAATTGAGGATATTTGTTGTTTTTAGGATATCATATAGTCTTGGTCATACATTATCTTTGTTGTTTTGGTACTGTCAGGTTGCTGTTTCCACAGCTGGTATGATTGCTTTGAGGGAGGGCCATGTTTGATGTTCTCATTTGTTTACCTCCCTGCTCTATGCTAAAAACAGTCTAAGCTGTCTCATGAAAATAAACAATGGCAATCCCATTGTTTGGTTGCATCTAGTATGTTATTTGGTTAAAACAATGGCAATCCCATTGTTTGGTTCAAATTGGTCTATCTTATGGTGAACAATGGCAATCCCATTGTTTGGCCTAATGTTACCATGTTGTTTGGAAATAGAGTCCTCTGGTTGACTGTTTTCTTGGTTTGAAACTCAACCTTGGTACGTCATCCTTACTCTAGAGTCAATTTGACTAGGAGTTGGATTGTTGGTTTTGTTTAAGTCATTCATTTGAGTCTTTGAGTCAATTTTATTTTCACAAGATGACCAAGTCACACTTGTGACTTCTCATCTTTGCTTTTCTGTTTCAATTATTTTTGAGTCTTTTTGCTTTTAAAGATAATCAATTACACTTGTATTGATCATCTTTGCTTTTCTGTTTCATTTTAGGATTTTGGGCACTGATTTTAAGTAGCATATTTTCTTTTAGCCATATATGCACCAAAAATAGAATAAATGATGAATTTGTTGTACAAATGTTTGAACTTGATGCCATAGCCACAATAATCCAAAGCTTAAACCATATTTGTCTTAAGTTGAGCCTCTAGAATTAGCCAACCATTTCCAAAGCTTTCACTTGATTCAATTGGGCCTTCATTTCAATATGGCCAATTTGCAGCCTTGATACACCCACAATGAGGACATTGTTTCCCTTAAGTTTGGGGGAGGGTCCTAAAAGTACCAAACACAATAGAGTTTATGAAACATATGCAGTAAGACCAAAAGACAAACAAAGGAACAAAGTTGCAGGTCTTATGCATACAAAAGAGTGTCAAAGAACACCAGAATGTTTGAAAAGGACCAAAGTGTCCAAAATACCTCAATATGAGATGCATAGCAGTAAAATTGTGCTATGGAGTGAAAAAGTGAGATGAGGTAAAAAGCATGCATTGAAAAGAAAAAGCCAAATGCAAAACTCAATTCAAAGTCCCAAATTCTCTGTTGAATCTAGTATAGCAATAGAAATGTAGGCTAGCTTATGGGTTGACAATATGAAAGACTTAAGTTTGGGGGAGCTAGGTTTATGAAGGGCTATGGATATCAAGCATCAAGTCAAGAGTATAACATCTTCATTCAAAAATTTTCAAAAATATGCATACTTTGGCTATTGAATACTTATGCTCAAATTTTTTTGTTTAGATTATTAGAAATTTGAGTCTTTTAATTTGTCATTTTTTGTTGTTTGGGGACAAACAACAATTCAAGTTTGGGGGTGTGATAAGTGTTAATTTATTAACCTTATTA